CTATAATACAGTTAGTTAAGGTTTGTTTGTTAAAAAAGGATTGCAACTAAATCCAGACCAAAACTAAATTGTAAAAAGCTTTTTTGAGGTATTTGCTGCAAATAAATGCTTGTTAAAGAGTAGGTATCTATAAGAATTGTTTTTAATGAAATATTTGCATAATTTACGTCAATGTTCATTTAAATAAACACTTTGAAGTCAATTTTGTGACAAATTAACTGAATTTAAGATCCAGTCTTTTATTTCACACTTTGTGCAGTCATATGGTTTAAACAGAGGATTAGAGTCAGTGTGTCTTGTCAATATGAGGCCTCTCTGTAATATAAAAAAGTTAGTTACATTTTAATGTCTGGTTTAGAAGGTACCACCTTCAGAGGTGTGACCAGAAAGTCAGATGTACTGTACATGTCTGCATTGCATAAGGGCTAACACTCTCCTGCTTGTCTTATGAAAAAGTGATGAATTCCTTTTTTTGTTATATGATGCAATATCTCTAAATGTTTCAAATGGTCCACAAAAACAAGTAGTTAGTCATGATAGTAAACTACAGTAGGTCATTTTATTGGTGCTTAATGGAGCTTTAATTGGCTACAAGGGATGTTTTATTTATTTTATTTTTTTACAGTTTGTCTTGAAATTTGACGTCACCCTGTCTGACCAACTGCTCAAAGTCAGAACGAACAGATTGGAAACAGAAGTGCAGACAGATGGATAGGAGACAATTTGTGCTTTTGAGTCTTATAGTTTGAGACACTTGTCAGTCAAGAAAATACGCCTCAAACAGATTTCTTTATAATTTAACAACAAAAAAATATTTCTCCAAGCTGCTGACATAGAAAAAGTATAGAGAAATTCTATAAATATCAAGTAACTTGTTGTTTGTTTTGTACCAAACTATGGTTGTACTAACTCAATTTAAAAGAAATGCAAAAACAAATTAATGTAGTACAAAAAAATCGAGCAGTTAATTTCGTCATTGCACAATAAAAAGTTTAAAATGGTACAGAATTTACGTTTTCTACTACTTTGTACAAAAATCAAAATGAAATCAAGGCTAATGGACTTTTTTTTAAAGAGTTGTGTATATGTCTACACAACAGCAGGTAATAGAAACTGGATTTGATACTATGGAGGTCTGTATCTTTAAATTAATACAAAATTAACATTTGATAAATTGAATAACTGGCAATCAATAAAGTGGTCAGACTGTTAGTTTGACTTTGTATTTTAGCACATTAGTTATTTGAACCAAAAAATCTTGACCATGTGTAAAATCCTGTTGATTATAATTGCCACTAAGAGAAATCCCACTGCCAGGTAACACCAGGACCAGAGCAGAACTGTTCCAGGACTCGATCAGGTACTTCCGTGTCCACCTCTGTGGCTGCTGGGATCATCGCTCTAACGTTGGAGGCCAAGTGAGGGGCTCTCTTTTACACAAAGTCCATCATTCAGACCATGTTAGAATCAATAAATGTGATGTTTGCTGAGATTATGGTCGTCCCTTCTGTTTGGCCCTTCTATAGTCCTTTGCTCACCTGGAGGGATGTGCAACACATTATTGTTCGAACGTCGAAATCTCATCACCTCGTCGCGCCAGACTGGCACACTAACGGAGCTGGATACAAAGGTAACATTGGACCCTGCTAAACTTCTAATTACAAACACATACAGTATATATATATATATATATATATATGTCAAAACATGACATATTTATTACTGAATTCCATTATAACCCAAAGACAATGGGGTATTTTGGTGACTATAGTCACTTAGAACGTGGAAACTATAAAGTTGTAAACATATTATGAACTAACGAGGAGCAGCCAGCAGAACAGCAATCAACGCCCACAAAGTCTCAGGAGGACATGAACTCTTTAAGATGGCTTAATGCCCTCTCTACCCCTCCTAATGTTGTGTTTGTCTGTTAGTGAGCCACCTTTATGGCTTTGGCCTGCTGGATGCTGAGGGCATGGTGAAGGAGGCAGAGAGCTGGAAACCAGTCCCCTCACAGCACCAGTGTGTGGAGGAGGCTGCCAGCCAGCTGAGCAGGTACATCAACATGACTGCAAAACATCAACAATAATGACCTTCTTTTGCTGCTCTTCTTGTAATTCTCTCTCCCTTCTTTCCACTGCTCACCATGTTGTTTTGTTCCTTTACCCTGACTCTACCATCACAGTGTTATTCATCCAAGCTCGGTGCTGACGTCTGTGTTTGAGGCCACAGGCTGCTCCGGCAAGGCCCTGCAGCACGTTGTTTATGTGGAGCATGTTGTAGTTGGTGTAACCATCACTCACAGACATCGTGGCGACCTTTCCATTACGCTCACATCACCTTCAGGCACTGTGTCACAACTGCTCGCTAACAGGTAATGCTCCATCACCACACACACACGCACACACACACCTCCCGTGGAGGGAAGTTTCTGTGGACTGATTGATTATACGTTTGTTTCAAACATTCAGTGCTCAGAGTGACAGTCTTCAGTTTGGCAGCAGCTTTGGAAGAAAAGTCAATTTTGGCAAGCGCTGTTGGAAAATGACAGGAGTGATACTCATATGGTGTTTCATGGGAACTCGTTTTTGGGCAAGCTATTGGCAAGATTCTAACAAGCTGCGCCTTACTTTTTATATATTTCCTAAATTTCTTGCAACCATTTAAAAAATATACACAAGTATTAGACAGCAAAAATAATCCAATACCACTTTCTGGTTTGCAGGGAGTTAAACATTACTCAGTTTATACAAATGTATAAATTTATAATTATTCTTTAAAACAAACCTCTGATTATTAAAGATTATGTCTCTAAAAGAAAATCTAAAATGCTTGTTTTCGCCCCAACAAGGTCCTCTCAAGATTTTTTTTGCTTCATCCATCTTTCCTTCAACGTTGACAAGATTCCTAGTCTCTGCTGATGAAAAACAGCCCCATAGCATGATGCTGCCACCACCATGCTTCCCTGTACGGATGGTGTTTTTAGCTTTTGTCAAGTTTAAACCTGACATAATGCTATCATGTATTATTCTCATCTAACCACAGCAACTTTTACATTAGAGAATCATTTCCAAACTGTCTTACTTCCTTATTTTTGAAGTAACTTTTTTTTCGGCCGAATTTACACAAAGTCCAGCTTTGCTCATAGTAGCTTCCCAGCTGCCTTGGTCTTCATGCTGTCTCTTCCTAATAGAGGTGTATTGATTTTTGGTTCTGGAAGCCATGAATTTAATTAATTTTATTTAATAATTTATTATGTTGACCTTTTAATTAATTATCTGATTAATGTTCTCCTGGGAATGTTGGTGAATGACCATTAGTTTCCTAGTAATATATTTTATTGGTACGTCATGTAATATTTGTGGTTTTGAGGGATTATTCGTGTACCCAACCCTGATCTGTTCTCCACAAATTTGTCTCTGACCTGTGTGGAGAGTTCCTTGGTCTTCATGCTGTGTCTTACATGGTAGTAGCCCTTACTTATAGAGGTGTACAGGTTTTGGTTCTGGAGGCCATACATTTAATCAGTTGGATTTCATTACAGTTTTGTGTCATGGCCTGCAACTTAACCATTAATATTTTCTTATCAGTTTCTAACAGCAGGAAGATGAGTGAAATGTTATCTCAAGAGGAAAAAAAACTAAATTAATCTCCTTGTTGAATTTCAAGAAACACTGTGCTCAGCAGTGGTCTCATTTGCTGATTTTTTTTCCAATTACATTTTTCCCCTTCATAAACACGAGTTAAATATTAAATAGGCTTCTTAAAAACAGTTTACAAGTAAAGATGATTTATGGTAACATAGCTCCAAGTCAAATTAGGTTTTTAAATAATTTATTCAAGAAAATATAAATTTGCTTTTTTTGTAAAAAAAAAAATGCATCACTGCTTTCCATATCTTTTAACAGAACAAATATTCTGGTTAAAGAGTTCTGTATTAATGTCAACATAGATGCTAAATAACTCAGACACACCTGGTCATACTGTATATATGAAAATGTGTGTAACATGGTTTTGCAGATGTCATCGAGTAATGAGTGTTGTTGGAAGAAAGAATGTTCAGGCACTATTACAGAAAGTGAACCTCTGTAGCAGCACGTCGCCCCATGTGTGAGACAGGAACCTCAAATCATAAAACTTCCAGCACCGTGCTTCACAATTAGAGTTAAATCAACATCCTTAAACATGTCTTTTTCATCTGCTTTTAAAGTTTTCATTATTCTCAGTAGGCTGTTTGCAAAAATATCTCATGCTAACGTTAAACTTGTCAACTCAGATGCGATTAGATTCAAAACAGTCCTTTTTTTTTTTCTTCTTCTTCTTCTGTGATCATTGGCAAGTTTTGTCGAAATGCTCTAATTCTATCTGGCACACATCCCAGGCAGGTCAGATTTGAGTAATTTCCTGCTAATTGGAAATGACAGTTGAACAGTTGAATGGGCTGCAAACAGAGTTTTGACAAACCGTCTTCTCTCAGGCTTCATTTAGATTCATTTTTTTGAATGACTGGTTAATTTAAAATCATTTGGAGATCTTTAAAAATTCCTCTTTTTGAAAGTGTTCCAGATTTGAAAGCATCTAAAACCCTAAAGAGCTCAATAAACATTATATATTCCTTGTTCATGTGAAGCAACAATTCTTGGTATAACAATTATCCTAATTTGATTGAAAATAATGTTGCCTTAATGTTATTTAAATGTGATTTATTAATATAAAAACTCAACTGTCAGACATTAACAACAAAGCTTCTTAAGGAGGTTTTCTCGTGTCCCAGGTTGCAGTTTCTCATAATAAACCACCTGGAAGGATTCATTTGCAGAAAAAAAAACATATTTAAAAACTAAACAACGTGTTTTGTAAATAATATTTTAATTAATAACTGTATATAATGTTTTGGTTTAGACCTCATGACAACTCCACTGAGGGGTTTCAGAAATGGGAGTTCATGACGGCTCATTGCTGGGGAGAGCAGGCAGCAGGGAAGTGGACTTTAAAAATCAAGGATACTCCGTCTCAGAAGCAAGTCGATGCTGCAAGAGGTTGGTTCTTTCTTTCTTTTTGAGATAGCTCTACAATACGAGACCTAAATACACAGAGCTTCAAGCAGAAGCAGCAGAAACACAGAGTGGGGCTTGTGGGACAAACCTATTTTTTTTTGTTTTTGTTTTTTTGCCCTCTGTTGTTTTGCAGGGATGCTAAAGAGGTGGTCTCTGGTGATTTATGGTACTGCAGAGCAGCCGTATCACATGCGTCGTCAGCGACCCCGATCAGCCGAGCTCTCAGAGGATAGTGATCTCACAGAGGCATACAGTGGTGACTCATACACTCTGCCTACCCTTGTTCTAGATTGGGCCTTTCACATAACAGCTTCATGCAGCTTTTAACTCACATTACAGTGTGGGATTGTACTGAAGCAGCATTTTCTGGGAGTTTGTTGCCACTGCCAAAACGATGCTCTGACTTCAGTTGTGTTTGCCCCTGTAGGACCCTGTGACCCAGAGTGCAGTGATGACGGCTGTGATGGGCCCGGCCCGCAGCAGTGTGGCACATGCCTGCACTTTTTCCTCAAGTTCAAGAACAACTCAAGGTTGGCATGATCACACACTGCAGAGAGCACTTACATGATGTAGACAGCTCTGTCACTTATATGTATGTTCCAATATTAACCCCAAATCTGAAAAAAAAAACGTTTTTTATATAAATGAAAACAAAATTACACGATTTGCAAATCTTATAATGTATTTTATTTAAAATAAAACATTGTAAATAAAACAAATAATTGACTAAGAAAAGTTTTTTTGCAGAAAAAAAAAGGTAATTATGCGTTACTGGTGCTTTGTTTAAAACACACCTTTGCGACCGATGCTCCCTAAAAAACTGTCCATTTCTTCATTCTCACAAACAAATTCACTGGTTTGTGTTTATTTACCAGAATCCCCACAGGAAAAAAAAAAACTCCAACCTACCTACAGACACTTCTGACTATTCACAAACCAAAACACAGTCTGTGTTTTAGTGCCTTCATCAATCTCCTCTTACCAAAAGCACGTACCTCCTTTGGTCGCTCCTCATTTCATTCTCTGCTGCAGATAATTGGACCATCTGCAACAGACCTTTAAGCTTGACTCGTTCATTTCATTCTCTCCCTTTAAAAGTTTTATACACTCAGTTTACATTTTTCTTTCCTCTATTTTTTGTGTATTGTATGTTTTATGTATGTTACTTTATGCTATTTGTATCATGGTTTTGTTTTTATCATTTATCTATGACATTTTGTGTTGTGTTGCCGCCTCTTAACCAGGTCTTTAGATCTCACCTGACTTACCTGGTAAAATAAAGGTTTATATATTAAATGGCAGCAGCACATCTTAGAAAATTTGGGACAGGGGCAACTAAAAGATGTGGTAGGATTAAAAAAAACACTGGAGAAGCATTTTGCAACTAATTAGTTCAGTTGTAGCCTGGCCCTTGCCTTCCTACGCAGTTCCGCTCAATTCTAGTTTCCCTTCAAAGCGAAGAACAAGAGTCTGGTTTTTACCAGGCTAGTTCAGTTGGCAATAGGTCAGGAAGAAGACTGAATATAAAAATAGCATTTAAGAAAACCCATCATCTTTATTTGATGTTTACAAATTATTATCAATAAAGGCAGTTCACCGTGCCATCCATAATATGATTAAAGCTCTATCATGCAATGATACTGTGAACACCAACCAGAAATGCTGCTATCTTCACTGAGCCCCAGCTCCTTTAAAATGAACCAAAATGAGACAAAATGGAAAACTGTTCTGCGTCCAAACAAGTCTAAATTTGAAATGCCTTTTTGGAAACCACACACGACATGTCAGGAGAGGAACCGTCCAGCCTGTTAAAAAGTGAAGAGCTCACAAGTAGATCCAGGTTTCAGAACAACATACATCATGTTCCCATCCAGCCTTTTCAAATAATGAGCTACATTATTATTTTCAATTTGTTCCACTATTTTAAGGCACATCTTTACTTCTGAGACATTCAGCTTCTCTAACATGTTCTCTTCATATCCAGTTCTCTTACCGACCTGTTGCCAATTAAACTAATTAGTTGCAAAAAGCTCTTTTTTCCATCAAACCACTAAGTTTACAGCCTTTTGTCACCTGTTTTCCCTTTCTTGAGATGTGTTACTTCTACTGCTTTCACATTCAAAAAGAGCTTTTTTTTATTGAAATAGTCCAACTTTATTGTTTTAAATTTGAACGTTTACTATGTTTTATTGTAAATCACAGATTAAGGATTACAGGTTAATGAGATTTGCAGAACATTTACACAAATGTCTCAAGTTTTCAGTAGTTGTATTTCCTGCCGTCTAACCTCCAATTAATTAAAAAAAAACCTGTCCAATAGATTGTGTGTATCAGAGTGTCCCAGTGGGTTCTGGGGAGACCGTCGGCGCTGCAAGAGGTGCTACTCCTCATGTGAGAGCTGCACAGGAAGTCGCAGTGACCAGTGCACTTCCTGTCAGCCTGGTCACCACCTGACGGAGGAGGCCAATTCCTGCACAGCCACCTGCGGGGATGGCTATTACCTGGATCACGGTTGGACTTCCTTTCATTTCTTTGTTTTGTTTTATTGCTGTTTAAAATATTCAGTAGAAATATCCTTGAGTGTACCTTTAGGGATGCATGGCTTACTGATTCTAGACCCCGTTAATACATATTCAGTTGTTGTAGCCGCAGTTGTGAGGTGAGAGTAAGACTGATTTGTGCCTCTGATGTGTATTCCACGTGTATTGTTTGTTTTTTCCCCTCAGATACAAATATGTGCAGAAAGTGCAGTGAAAACTGCTTGAAGTGCACCTCTTACAGCATCTGCACAGAATGCAAAGTAGACACAAGGTGAAACAAATTCTCTGATGATTCTTGAATTAACTCCTCTGCAAACATTGCTCTTTCTTCTTCAGCCGCTGAGAATACTGATGCTCAGACTCTCTCTGCTGTATTGTTGCAATTAGTCAGAGCAACAATATATGTTTTTATTTTAACTCTGAGCCATCCTTTTTTTTCCTCTCATAACTTAGAAAAAAAATCTGTTTCCTGATCTTTCTTTCGCAAAATCAATATTGGAATGAGCAAAACGTCTGACAAATTTACTATACTGTTAAGCTAGAAGTTTCCAGACCACACTGTTCACTGACTCAGCTCACCATGGGGCTTGTGGTGCTGGTTTGGTTGTGGGTTGGAGAAGTGAAGGCGATGACTCGTCGTTACGGTGTCACGTGATTGGCTGAGTGTGTCACGGTGCCACATGCTCTCTCCGCCCTCTCCAGTCTGCAGGGGAACCGGTGCCAGCGGAGATGCGTGGACGGCTTCTACTATGACACGCAGGAAGACAAATGCAAGCCTTGTCACAAGGCCTGTGCTACCTGTGCAGGTGAGAGCGAGGTCAAAGGTCAGACAAATATTATCTGTGAATAATATTTTTCTTTATTACTTTATTTATTAACAGTATTGTTTGCCTATTAAGTTTCTTCCATACATTTTTACCAAATTAAACAATTCAAAAATGTAACTGCTCAGAGTGATCATGTGCTATGACTTCTGTTTTAATAAGCTTTATACTTTTTTAATTATTAAACTTTATTTACATTATTTTCTTTAAAAACAAATTGAGACCTCTTCATTTCTGTCTTTGACATCTACTATAACACTCAGGCTCTACTTTGTCTCCTCAAACTACTTCTAGCAGTGGATTTGCACATTTTAGCTTTTACCTACTGTTTTGCACATTTTAGCTTTTACTGACTGTTTTGCACATTTTAGCGCTCACCTACTATTTTGCACATTTTAGCAATCACCTACTGTTTTGCACATTTTAGCTTTTACCTGCTGTTTTGCACATTTTAGCTTTTACCTACTGTTTTGCACATTTTAGCGCTCACCTACTGTTTTGTACATTTTAGCTTTTACCTACTGTTTTGCACATTTTAGCGCTCACCTACTGTTTTGTACATTTTAGCTTTTACCTACTGTTTTGCACATTTTAGCATTTACCTACTCTGTTGCACATTTTAGCGCTCACCAACTGTTTTGCACATTTTAGCTTTTACCTACTGTTTTGCACATTTTAGCTTTTACTATACCTACTCTGTTGCACATTTTAGCTTTTACTGTACCTACTCTGTTGCACATTTTAGCGCTCACCAAGTGTTTTGCTCATTTTAGCATTTACCTACTCTTTTGCACATTTTAGCGCTCACCTACTGTTTTGTACATTTTAGTTTTTATCTCTGTTTTGCACGTTTTACTTTTTACCTATAGCCTTTTCTGTTTAAGATTTTAGTTTCTGATTTGCTGGGTTAAGCTTTTAGCTGTTGTTTGCTAATACACCTTTTAGCTACTTGTTCTGCTTTTATCAGCTTTTAGGTAATGTTCTGCTGTTTTTAGGTTAGATTTTGTTCTGCATGTTTGGCTGGTGTTCTGATCATATCAGCGTCTCTTCTGATTGTTTCAGCTTTTGTTCTGCATGTTTTCTTGTCTGTTCTGCTTGTGTTTAACTTTAACAATAAAATTTCTGCTTCTTTAATAAGAATCAATAAAGTCATTCAGCACTTATCATTCACACTGCATTTTTCCAGAAGAAGGTTTTTTTGTGTGTTTGTGTCTGTCTGGGTTCATGTTTGTGCGTCTTGTGGCATCAGGTGCAGGTGTTCAGGCATGCAACCGCTGTGCAGAAGGCTTCTTGATGGAAGAGTGGAGGTGTGTGTCCTCCTGCAGTGCTGGCTTCTACGCCACCCAGCCTATCCCAGAGATAGCTGATGGGCACAGGACATGTAGGAGGTGAGCTAACTGGTGTGTGTTCAGGTGTGGGTGGTTTGTTTACTGGCTGATGGCAGGCTTTATTCTGGTGGTTGGCTCCAGTCTGTTTTTGCTTGCTTTGGCACTCATGTTTGTTGTTGTCGGTCTGTATGTAGCGTGAGTAGCTGTTTTCTCTGTTCCGTGCGTGTGCGTGCGTGTGTTCAGTCTCTGTGCTGTCCTCCTCAGGTGTGACGCCAGCTGTCTCACCTGTGTGGGTCCGAGTTTGGGGAACTGCAGCAGCTGTTCCACCGGTCATAGCCTCCAGAAAGGAGTGTGTGTTGTTAACACAGAGTGCACAGACGGTCAGTCAACCAGATCGTACATGTTGGCCTGCTGCTCTAGAACAGACCTGACGCAGCCTTGTGTTGTGTCCTATTTTTACTTTGTGGTTGTGTATGCGTGTTGTCAAAATATTTCATGAACCACTGGATAACTGTTATTGAAACTCTCAGGAAGCAATCATTTGGTGCACATCTACAACTCAATTCAAAATGATTGCAACAACCCATAGACCGTTAATAAATAAATAAATACTAATTCAGTGAGTTTTACAGACATGAGCCAAAATTTGGTGGGTTGGATTTAAATGAAACTTTCAGAAATTGGGTATTTGTTATTAATCTACATCTCACTAACCTTTGAAGAGCAATTGAAGAATGCCAGCCCAGGTAATTAGCTTTAGCCAACAAACAATGGCTCTAACCCGGTCAGTTTTACAGATATTTAGCTAAAATTAGGCAATAGCTGAGAGCCACTGACAGCATATACTCTAATATGCATGAGATTACACGACGTTCTTTTCAAAGTATGACTTAATCCTAAATGGCTACAACTCCGACTAAATTTAGTCTAAAACTCTGGAATGAAAGACAGGGGTTGATGTGTAATCCTTTAAGGACTGCCAGGCCTTTAATGATAATATAATAATTTATGTCTATATACGTTCCTCCATGCCTCCAGCTTTTTTTTTTTTTTTTCATTTTTGAGTCAGAATTTCTGATGTTGTCTTTCTGTCTGTCAGGAGAATATCAGGACAGTGAGGGGGCATGTCAGCCATGTCACAAGACTTGTCTGAAGTGTGCAGGGCCGCAAAGCCAAGACTGCATCAGTTGTGCTTCTTCAAGGTAAACCTTCATTTATTTTAAATCATTCATTCATTCATTCATTCATTCATTCATTCATTCATTAAAACAAAGGAAAATCAAAATTAAACTCAAACAAAAATCAAAATCTTCCTGAACAACCATTTTTGTGAGCCTTATACAAAACCTGTAAGATATTATAATCAACTAAATCATAACATTTTAATAATTTCAACTGATAAAATTATGTATTTCTTGGACGACTGTATTGTTTTCTAATAATGATTCTCACCACTCTTTTTTTGTAAAATAAAAAAGAAGATTTGCTTCACATGATTTTCCCCAGACTTCATTACATTTTAGATCTGAGGTCAGAGTTTAAAACTCCACTGTAAGTTTTAGAAAGCCAAACTCTGTGCCTTACAACACTGTTTTTTTATTTTTTATTTTTATTGTCATTTCCACTTTTGTCCAAACTCTTCGTATTTCAGACAAAGAAAACAAATAGGTTGAGAAGGGGTGAAGCCAATTACATCAAATGATAAAAAAAAGCTTGAAACTCAGGAGGAGTTCTCAGATTTCACTTTTTTTAAACCCACAATGTCACCTGATACCTATTATTTTTCCTGTAATTCACACCTTCATGCATGTGACCAAAGCAGCTCTGCTGTTAGGCAGGCAAACAAAAACCATATTGACTCTCCAGTGGGAGGGGAGTGAGATTAATCTTGATGAAGAAGTATCTCATGCAGTTCAAAGCTTGGAACTTTCTCACTCTCCAGTTTCAAACTGAGAAAACTACTGTTTTGTAAAGTTTGGTTTTATACCATTCTGTTAGTTTATCTGTGAATTTAGCTTTTGTTTTGTTTAAACTTCTTTAATAAATGTCACGCAAAATATTCAGCAATCAGCATCCACACAAGTTCTCTGACTTTCTTTTAAATATTGTCTGTCTTTTTTGGTTCAGAAAACTGTATTATCTTCATTTTTATAATCAGTGTATTTCTGTAACAATGCATGTCTGAGACTGTATATAGAGAGTTTTTGTTTTGGTAAATGGTTTTAGGGCCAGCCACTTGCTCTCATGTTTCTAAAGTAGCTCAGAGTTTTGCAGTTTTCTATATTAACAGATTGTTCTGAAATTGTGTTTGTCAATTTTAAATAATTAACTTCATTATCCAAAACCTCCCACTTCGCCTACAGTTTAAACTACTCTCCCTGTAGCTCCGTCTCCTCTCCATTTGTTAACTCACTCATCTACATCTGTGTAAATGTGCCATATGGTGCATGCTGAGATGGAAATGAGCCCCACTGATTTACAGAGTCATAATTTATATGTGTTGATTTTTCTTGTTTTGATTTAGCTTTTTTTCCCCTCTCTTGGCTGCAGGGCTCTGGATGGGGGTCGCTGCGTGGCTGCATGTGCCAAGGGCAAGTACCAATTCGGTGGTCAGTGTCACTTGTGTGACCACGCTTGTGCCACATGTGTCGACGCAGGACCTGCCAACTGTACCAGCTGTGACACAGGTATTGACGTGCATTAAACAGATAGATGACAAATTAAATTTAAAAAAAATCCCATGACTCTGTCATTTGGGCAGTTTGCCGGCGTGGTTTGGTGTCCACTTGTCCTAAGGCTCATGATAAATGAATTAATTGTTGCTCAACATGATGAAACATTTCTCTCCTGATGTTGGACTCATCATCCAGGATGACAGTGCCTCCATCTGTTGGACAGAGGAGATCACTGAATGGTCTCATGAGGATGAAATGTCACGACCTTTGCACTCACCAGACCCCATAGACTTATTAGATTGTGTCATAAAAATAATAAAAGAAGAAATAATTGGTTGTGTTTGTTTCTCCATTCCTCCAACAGAGGTCTGAAGAAGAGACATTAGCTTATCTTAGGAGTTGGTTTTCCTTTAACGCACTCAAAAAACAGATATACCTCATTTTAACACTTATGTCAACTGGTTCAGCTCAGCTCTGTTGAGTAAAGTTAATGCCTTCAGTTTATGTTTACTTTACATATATTTAAACTAAATGTAAAGTAAATGTGTTCCATTTACTCAATTTAGTTGGATGGAATCAGTTTACCTTTTTTAATTAAATCTACAAATCGCTTATTTTTTGTTTTGTTTTATTTTTTGTGCATGTCATTTGCTTTATGGCTGAAGTGAATGTGATGCAGACCAGAACGACTATCAATTTTCTAAAAATCACAAAAAAGGCGCTAAAAATACATTTAAATTTTTTAACAGTTGTGTCCCATATTATGGAAAAAGTGCAGTTGTGATAGTTTTGTTGATTATTGAAATATCAGCTACCATAAACTATTGTTATAGTTAATATTTAGTTATACAGGGTGGGTGCCATGTTTACTTTAAGGTTTGTGTCTGCAATTTACCATAATCCATATTACTCTAATCTCAGAAAGTTTTCAACATTACAGATATTTAACCAGACAAGTCCCGTTGTGATCACAGATCTCTTTTGGAAGGGTGGCCTGGGCCTGAAGGCAACCTATTGTACATGTTTTTGGGGGTGGGGGAAACCAGAGTACCTGCAGAAAACCCACGCAAGCACGAGGTGAACGTGCAAACTCTGCACAGAAAGACCCCAGGTCCGAACCGGGGATCGAATCCAGAACCTTCTTGCTGTGAGGCGTCAGTGCTAACCACTGAGCCATCATGGCTTATTATTATATTGTGCAGTCTTAGCTGTTCGCTAAATTTACATCAGAAAAATGAAAGAAAATGGTCAATTTTGGTTAAAATGTTTAAGAGGATAAATCAGTCAAAATCCATATTTTAACTGTTACATACATTTTGTTGTGTACTTAGAGTGCAGAAAATGTAATCACTCCTGGTGCTGCATAGATGTCTTTACATTCTGTTTGGGTTATATTTTGCAACATGTTCAGTTTTCTCTATGTCACAGTATTTTTGATGGAACTTCTGAATAAGGTCTAGACTTACCAACTACAGTTTCATCGTCTTCATCCACGTTTTGTTCTGGGTCAGACGTGAGGCTGGATGGACAAGTCTTCACTCGTTGACATCTTTAAATTTGTAAACACAAAGTTTTTGTCCTGCTTTAAAGTTGTAAAATCCTCTATCAAAGTAGAATGAACTGGAAGCTGGAGGGGGTCGGGGTGTGAAGCGCCTTGTTTGTGTTTATTTGAGACACACCTCAGGACAGCGGTGAAAGAGGGGCATGTGAAGTTACAGTAATGAGGAATTCAGACCAAAGCGTTGCAGTTCCACTTTATATAGACCCCAACTGAATTGTGTAAATAAGAAAAAGGATTTAAAATTAGCATTAGTCCCTTTTTTATATATATTTTTGTTTGCTTTATGAAGATGGAAAATGCCTAAAACATCTAGACTCAGCTGTTTCTGATGAGAAGCTGTGTGCTGACATTTATGTGGTATTTTAGCTTTTGGCCTCCTAAAAGGAGACAAACTGAAACATTTGAACTTTCATCCTTTACAAGACAGTAACTGCCTTTAAGGTTTAGAGGTTTGGGTTTTACAGCTTTTCATCTGAAAACGATGTTCATGGGAACAATGGTGATGCTTTGTCCCTACAAGGGGCTCATTTCACATCATTTTGCTTGAGTCAGTTAACACACACACACACACAAAAAAAATGATGCATACACCTAACCCCCCACTATTAATAATTCAAAATGCAAAACAAATCAGGGTGAATCTTGATTTAAAATTGAATAAATATGTTTTGTCTCCAGATAAATTCGGGGTGGAGCGTTACCTGCATAAAGGCACATGTCTGGACGCCTGTCCTGAGGCCTTCTATCACACCGCTGAGAGCAGCTGTGAGCCCTGTTCAGAAAACTGTCATGTCTGCACCAGCCCCAACCACTGCCTGACGTGCAACTCTTCTTACTACGTGTCAGACGGGGTGTGCATGAAGCTGGAGTGTGGAGAAGGTAAACAACGTTACAGAATTATTTATGACTGGGTTTATTTTTTATTTTATTTTATTTTTTGCAGCTGTTATGTGACCTTTTGCATAATCATTCTCGATCTTGTTTTGGATAGTTTCTCTCACTGTGTCACTCCTGTCCACTTTGTCGCCCTGTCTGTGCTCCCAGGAGAGGTGGAAGATCCGGACTATGAGGACTGTGTGCCTTGTGAGGAAGGCTGCAGGAAGTGTGTTCTGTGTAAGTCACAGTTCAGCAGCTATTATAACGCTTTCCTAAAATGCTTAAAGAGGACGGAGCTCTCGTGTCAGACCACGTCCAGAGGTATTTCCTGTTTGAAAGGAGAGCTGAGTATTTTGTGTGCTTTCAACAGATAACCCTAGGCACTGCCTGTCCTGCACCGAGGGGTTTTACAAGTAAGGCTGTGTGCCTCTCCGTCACCCTGTGTGATCTCACCACTGCACTCAGTCTGCCTTTCATTTCACTGCTGTCCCTAAATGAAAAGGCTTTTCTTCCCCCATCCTGGAAGAGCAGAGTGGATTTCTGTGCATGTGTGACTGCAGGTATCGACTGCTGCTTTTATTTTTCAGCTTTCAGGACGGCTGCTACAAAACCTGCCCGGCCAAGACGTACACCGTGGAGGGGGAGATGACCTGCGCTCCGTGTGACGACAGCTGTATGAGCTGTGATCAACACGAGTGCTACTGGTGTGAGACTGACCTCTTCTTATCAGGTGAAGCTGATGTTTTCTACACAAACAAAAGATGTCCGACTGCATCATTAAAAATAATAATAAAAAAACACATTTTAGTTGAAGGGGCCTTTCAGGACACCGAAGAACGCCGCACAATAAAATATGATGTAAAATGCAGAAAATGACAAAAGGATGAAACAGTAAATAAAAATAACAAAACATCATACATAGAATGACTTAAGAAGAACTGGAGGGAGAGTGTTCCAGTCGTTCGGTGCTGAGTGGCTCAAAGCTCCTGAGCCCATAGTGTAAGGATGGATTAAACAGGCAAACAAAAAAGATGAGAGTTGTACTAATTTAGACAGTCTGTGACCAAAGAGTGAACTCAAAACAGCTGTACTGTTAGGTGAGGAGGATGGATGATGACGAGCAATGTTATGGAGGTGAAAGTACGGTAAATGAATTACATTAATTATATGGGGTTTAAACGATAACATGTTATCTAGGAGGACACCTAGACTCCTAACCTAACTTAACTCCTAATTTTTTTAACTTTGATTGTTTGTCTTAGTTTTTTATGTCTTTGTAGAGTGTACTTGCTGTAACATTAATTGCCCTTTTGGGGCTTGAAAAAACCTGAACCTAAACCTAACCTGAAAGACGGGAGAAACTGAGGTGCTTTTGGTGGAAAAGTTGCTGGTTTTGCAAGGACAAATTTAGTTCCTATGAGAAGAAGTTCTTAAAGTATTAAATTTCACAGAAAAAAAATTGCTGGATTATTGCCCACTGCCAATGAAGATGAGTGATCGTCCAATATTTCACAAATCACCCCTTTTTGTAAATTTCACAGAAAATAATCACTAGATTCACATCGACAACATATTAAGTTTTGGAGTCAACCTGATTCAAGATGGCCACCACAGATAATTAAAAATAGTAAACACAAAAATTGTTGTAGCTTACTGAATTTTACATATATTAATCATGGAACCCTCTTAAACAATAATCCTTGGGTACATACAGTATCTACAAATCATTAGTTTAATTGGATTCAGTTCAGTTAATTTTTAAAGCGCCAATTCACTACAAAAGTCATCTGAGGACACTGTATAAAAACATTTAAATATTATAATGTGGCAATTGGTTGAATTATTTTTATGGGGAAAAAAAGGCCAGCAGATTGCTTCAAACCTTCACTTCATCTGCCATCCTGAGCAGCATGTTGGCGACAGTGGAAAGGAAAGACTTCTAATTAACAAACTACCACCAGAGCCAGAAACATAATGAGCAACCATCTGCCTCGGCCAGCTTGAGTTTAAAATTTTTTTTTTGGAATCAGTCTGATTCAAGTCGGCTAACAAACCTTGCTAACTTAGCAGAAATACAAAAAACGGCTATAACTCAGCCACATTTACAAATACTGAGCTAAGTTTTGGCAATGCTGCAGCTAAGAGTCATTCCAAACATGTACTTGGTGGACTAATAAAATCAAAGGTCTTTGACAGAGTCTTCTTTGTCCATCTGTTAGCAAAATATTTTATGAATAATGTAAGTTTATATAACATTTTATGACCAGGAAAGGTAGTTTAAATTTACTTTATTTCGGTGTTTTTTTAATTACATTTTTTAGATGAAAAAAAAAGTTCAAGAAAAATCAAAAGTGATTTTTTTTCAGAATGGAAAAAGATTTATCTATGCAAGAGTGACTGCATTCACGAGAAGATTCATAGAGTTGCACTGACATTACTTCAAGGGACACTGTTGTTTCACTTGTTTATCTGTCGCAAAATGCAAATGATATGCAGAGCCTTATGTCTTGTTTTTCTTACAGATAGTTTAGAGTTTAATTCTTTCATTTTGATTGGAAATGAAATCTTTTGAAAGTAGTCTCTGTGATTAGCCTTTTGTTGATTTGTAATTTTCACAGTGAGCCTGTTTTGTTTTTGTCACTGAGCTACAAGAAGCTATATGTTGTTTAAGTAACGTTAATCCTTGTGGGAGAGCAGCTTTGTCCTCTGCTGGATGAGGAAAAAGCTTTAGGACACAATCCATACTTTAGATTACATTCGGATTGCCAGAAGACAATCACAATTTCATTTATTGACAAAGAACTTGTGCTGTTGAAATGTTTTTCATATTACCAAATTTAAATGTAAAGAAAGTCCTAAGCTATGAAAAATACACAAGGCACCATTTTTCGAAGGGTTTTCTGTTACGAGACAAAAGGGTAAGATTTTCTGCTGGATAACAACTGCATGATGAGCTGTAATACTGTATGTAGAATATTAAATAGATGTGCTGTAATAACTCATTAATAACTGTCACCTGCAGCTTTTCATGACCCTCTGTGAACAATAGAGCGAATCAAGCCTATTGTTAGGCGATGGCCCTCTTTTGCATGTGACTAACCTGTTTGTCCACCATGTGGAGGCAGTGCTTATAGGCTGAGTTCTTCTGAAACTCATCAGACTGAGGAAGTCTCTTGGAGGAGAGACGAAACGTTTCACTAAAGAAGAACCCATCCAGAGGACCTACTTATTTTTTTCTTTTTGATTTTGATCACAGAGTTTTAGACTAAGATCATCTTATAAGAAATTCAATTTTTAGTCAAATCTTCAATGATATGTTAGCAACTATGTGTGTTGAGAATGATTTTCATCTACAACCTCACAAAAGTTTGGTAATTTTTTCAATATCTGTAAAATTGATTAAATTATGGCCATTTGTGAACGGCTAAGTTGGATTAGCTGTGGTGGCCATCTTGAATTGCCTTCAGTCCAGCAGTTAACAAGATGTAGATGTACATTCAGTGCTTTCAGTAAAGAAAGCTGACACACAGGGATTTAGTATAAATGCATATTCTTTGTAAGCATTCATTTGACGTGATATTGTATTGCCGTTGTCCATGTCATCAAATAAATTTGCAAGCCAACGCTTTTGGCGCCAGAAAAGGATTGCTGCCTCAGTGCAAAAATCTTTCTTCCACTCCCAAGACCTTCAGCCCAGACTGATGTATTGCATTTCATATAGCTTTCTTTACAACAACCAAAGCTTTTTTTAATTTTTTTCTTCCCCTCACACACGTTTAATAATGTAAACACACTTTAATGTGTAGAATCAGGGTTTTCTTTTTAATACAACCACCGAGATTGGTGAGTTCATTCAGGGAATGTGTTGCATATTAAACTCTTATCTCACCAAACAGAATCTTTTCCATTTTTTTTAACCCTCCAGAGGGGAAGTGTGTTTCGGTGTGTCCCGACGGTTTCTATGGCAATGAAGAGTCCAACGACTGCGAGGAGTGTCACTTGGACTGTGCAACGTGTAGCGGCCCTGAGGACAGCGACTGTTTGTCGTGCGACGAGGGGAAGGAGCTGTACGATGGGGAGTGTGTGTCTGAGGGTGGCGATTGTCCTGTTAGGACCTTTCTCAGCGGTGAGACTAATAACTTATATTCCACTAATCCGACTGTCTGGCCTTAATGAAGCAGGGATTTGGGCACTTTCAAAGGGGCAGCAGAGAAATGTCGGAGGGTAATTGGTGTGTGTGCCACCATCCCTGAACCTGGTAGCAACTTAAGTTCTCGAAGCTGAAAGAGCGTCAGACAGATACTGTAGCATAATAGTCTGTAAACGCTGAACGTTTTCTTCCCTCCATGAAACAACATGACAATTAGTTTGAGGCAAGAGATCTTAATTATAGGAGCTTAAATAACTTTGATAGGAGTGCATAGGTTAACTTAAAAGTTAAAGATGAGCACAGAAAGGAAAGTTTTTGTTTAAACTTTGAATCTTGAACACAACAAACTTCAGATACTTTTTCAATCAAAGATGGATGATGTATTTATTATTGGGAAGATTAAGAGAATAATATTTTTTGAGTGTTTGCTAGACATCAAGTTATACACAGATTAAAGCAGAGAAGGAAAGAATTACTCTGCCAAGTGTTTTAAACAGTTCCTGACAGAACCTTAAAGGAATAGTAGTGGTGTCCTGGTGTTGGGCCAGAATTTTTACAAGTACCTGTATTCGTACAAAATACGCAGTATTTGGGATTGATACCAATACCAGTGCCTGGTGTTGACTGTGTCAGTGTCACAGTTTACATTTCAAGTGAAAAGTTTGTCAGTTCCATACACACACACACACACGCACACGCACACACACACAC